ATTCAATCATATCATTTACTTAATTTTTTCCTATCAGCACGTTTATCCCACTTGGCTTTACAAACTTTTGATGAGTAATGTGTTCTTAGTTATATATTGGCCATTAAAAGATTTAAATTACCTTTATAAATATTCTGCCATGCTTATTATTTAAATACGTCTTTTTACCATACTTATTCTCAATTATATTTGCTTCAATGTATCTAATCATTGAGTATTACATCAAATAACTTCGTTTATCTTAAGATTTATTTATTTTCACCACCTTAACTAATTGCTTAATAAATTCGGAGGCCAACATGAGCCCTTACTTGCCTTATCTGTCATTTGTTTAAGTCCTAATGTGCTCCCTCTTATGTGACGCTAATGAGAATAGAAACAGAAACTTGAGATTTTCGTTATGTCTAGAACCGACCCTTTAGAATAGTGTCCAAAGCCTCCTGGACTGTAGGAAGGGTAGTTTTGAATTAAGACGCGATTTAGAATTAAATAGTGTGCTCTTAAGTTAACAACTTAAAGATAGTAATGAGGGTAGCGGACATGATACACAAATTGCCCGATAGCTATTGTACATTTGGCTATAAAAGTCTTAGTAGACTTTTGCATGGGAGTTGATCCATCAGGCTTAAAAATTTAGGGCCCCCTTTTATGTAATTAAGTAGGCTTTCTACGATTTACAATCCTTACATTTTTTCATGACTGGTTTTAATTAATTGCTTTTAAATTGGTGTATATACTTGACCATTTAGGATTAATTTACAACTTAGCAATCTACATCCTAGTTTAATTCAATAGTTTCACATAGTATAAATTCGACCGGAACCCACAGTTGTGGACCTCGAAGAGTGACTAACACCTTCTCTTTGAGATAATTTGAGCCCTTACCCGATCTTTGGTGATGTTGACTAGTCAAATAGAGTTATCTGCAAAATAGGTTCTCTAACACACCTCAAACCCGTTAGGTGGCGACTCTCTCTTTTAATACCCATTTAAAAGAGTTGTCACATGTCGGACCTCTCTCCGCGAGGAGGGAAAAAGGGGCCGCGACACCCTGCATGTTTATTTGGGACTACGGATCGGTATTCCGGGAGATCCCCCTGCACATTTATATTTGGGACTACGACACTGTATCCCGGGAGATCCCCCTATACTGGATATTTACTTTGGGACTACAGATCGGTATTCCGGGAGATCCCCTGCACATTTACGATTTGGACTACGGGATGGTATCCCGGGAGATCCTCTACACATTTACATTTGGGACTACGGGACGTTATCCTGGGAGATCCCCTGTTGCTATCTCTGTATACTGAGTTATTTCTTTCTATGATTTCATCTTTATTGACTATTAGTATTTTAATTATGTTGTCACTGTTCATACTATTTTTTTTTCTTGTTATATATATATAACCGGTAGGGCCCTGACCTTTCTCGTCATTACTCGATCGAGGTTAGGCTTATCACTTACTGGGTACCGCTGTGGTGTACTCATGCCCGTTCCTGCACATATTTTTCGTGTGCGGATCCAGGTTCTTCTGCTCAGCCATACTACCCGTGAGGCGAGGCGATCCAGAGAATTCGAGGTATATCTGCCGCGTCCGCAGACCTAGAAGTCCCTCTCTATTCTCCCTTCAATATAGACTTCTTGTATTTTTCCTTCGTTTAGACTTCTGGAGTTAGAATACTATGTATTTTTCTTTAGCTTGTGATCCATGAGATTTCGGATTTTGAGAGTGTTATATTCAGTCGAGAGTGTCACTATTGTATATACCGAGCGGCATCTTCAACTCTTTTAATTATATTTACCTGTTAGTTGGCTAGTTTTGCATCTTTAATCTATTTTCTGCAATTTGTTAGGCTTACATAGCTGTAGAGACTAGGTGCCGTCACGACAGTTCACAGAGGGAGAACTTGGACCGCGACATAAATTTTACGTAATAGCTTAAATGTTCAATGATTATGCATTCTTCCTAAAACTAAAAATGAAGAATGATCGTTTGTGAAAGTAAAATAATAATATAAATTTATAATAATTTTTAAATTGAATATATTGTCTGACATCATTGAGGGCTTATATGTGGTATCGTTTCTTTGGTTATTGTGTTAGTTAGATAGGTTCAACAATTACTATTTTCAAGAACTTATATTTTTTTGTAAATTTTATTTTATCACTCAAATATAATTTTTAATAGAATATTTATGTAATAGTTCAATATTTCATACTCATCTAGAGAGTGTTCACACGCAATGATTCATATTTTTTACCCTTTAAAACTAGCTTTCTCGTTGGACAAAATAATAATTTAAATTATTTTTCTAAATTATAGGAATCATCATTTAAATATTTTCCTAATATTTAGGAATACTCGCTTAATTATTTCCCTAACTCTTAGGACTTTGATCTAAAAAATCATATTATTTAATTGGAGTCCTTCATATAAACTCTATTTAGATTTAGGGTATTAAATTCCAAGCATTTTTATGAGTATTATTTTATATTGGGTTTACGAGTATTCTTTTGGTATAAAAATTTAGGTTTAGTAGTCCTTATTTTCTTTTCTTGGTATATGTGTCCCTATTTTCCTCTTCTATTTTTTTTTTAAGTTTAGGAGTACTTTTTCAAGGTTTACAAGTATTTTTATTAAATACTATAAGAAAATACTCATTGAATTATTTTTCTCATATAACTTGTTTCCTCCTCTTCCAGCCTACTGCCCGGACCCTCCTTATTCTTTTCAAATCAGTNTTGTGGTGTTATTTAGGAGTAACAAAAATATCTAGATATTATTCTATGGTTAAGCTCAAACCTAGATGGGAACTTTGCATCTATACCCGTTTTTTAGGTCACGTTTTAACTTGTGCCCGCTTTGCAAAAAAATTGCTAGTGTATCCACTTTTTCGCGTAACTTTAGCATACAGGGCTGAAGTAGCAAAGACAATCACGCAAAACTTCAGCATTCTAGTAGACGGGCCTGAAGTAGTAAGTGTGCTGAAGTTTTTGTTTGTAATTGCTGAACTTAAGCATAGTAGCTGAAGTTTTGTTCTCTATTTGCTGAAGTTTTTGTTTGAAGTTTTGTTCTCTATTTGATGAAATTTTTGTTTGTAACTGCACTAAATAAGCTGAAGTTTTTTTGGTCTGGATTCATTAGTTTTGTCGTTAAGCTTTTTCAAAAACTTCAGCAAAAGATGATGAAGTTATTTAGTTCATTTATAAAAACTTCATCACTAAATAAGCTGAAGTTTTTTTGTCATGGATAAGCTTTTTTAAAAACTTCAGCAGAAGATGCTAAAGTTATTTAGTTCATTTCTAAAAACTTCAACTAAATAATTTTAGCACTAAAAGCTGAAGTTTTTGAAGAACCAGTATCCATCTTAAAAGCACAAATTGCATTGATATGGACAAGTGTAACATTAACCAGTTTTTACATCAAGAAAAAGTTCAATAGCCAACGATTTGTGAGGAACATTCAAGAATTCAGCTTTTGGAATCAAAATTAACCAAGGTATAGAGGAACCGTGTCCTTTAAATAGTTCTATTTTGCTTTGCCTGTGATCCTGATGAATTGTTTTTGAGTTCCGATGAACCAGGACATATCCAAAAAGGAACTGTGATAAAGACAACTACACACATGACTAAAGCAGAAAAATAAATTTCCAATGATGCTACACGAAGTTATCAAAACTTAAGCTTCCATCCGCCAGAAAGTTCACAATTACAATTGTACAGTTGCTTTAGCAGCACCAACAACAGCAGAAGAAAAAAGAAGAAGAAGAAAACGAAGGAGGAGAAGAGGAGGAGAAAAGGGGCTGAAGTTATTTAAAAAGTGGGTACGAGTTAAAACTTTTAAAAAAAATGGGTATAGGTTAAATGAGGGCGACCAAATAGGACGCTCCGTGCAATTTTTACAACCTAAACTGCGTTATTTGTGCATTTGTTAAGTAAAAAAGTAATGAAAATGTTGCCCATATTTTTAATAATAGAACTTCCCCCAAAATTAAGCCTAGAAAAAGTTAAAAAATTTGAGGAAGATGGTTCTTTTTATTTTAAATTTTCCTTATTGCAGGTTCTTTTATCCATATTAGTTCCCCCGGGGTATTTGCATCTATACCTGCTTTTTGTGTCACGTTTTAACTTGTGCCCGCTTTGCCAAAAATAATTGCAAGCGTACCCGCTTTTGTCGCATAACTTCAGCATACAGGGTTGAAATAGCAAAGGTAATCACGCAAAACTTTAGCATTCTAGTAGTCGGGCCTGAAGTTCAACTCTAGAGCTAAAGTTTTTGTTTTGTAACGGGCGAACTTCAGCTCTAGAGTTGAAATTTTTATTTGTAACTGGCGAACTTCAGCTCTAGAGCTTATGTATAGTAAGATGGCTTATCTATAATTTTTTTTTTGTAACTAGTAAACGAACAATAAAGTTTTGAATAGGTTAAAAAAATTGATTTCCCCTCACGTTTCTGTTAAAAAACAAAATAGGGAGGGAAGAAAATGCCAATTTTTCACTTCTAATTAGTCGCCCTGGCTAATGGACAGTATTTCATCTTGAAGAGTATACGAAAAAGTTAAAATTGTACAAAATGATCCAAATAAATCAACTGTTTGAGTATGTTATTATATAACTTGGTGAGAATTGTGTGATTGAGACCGAATATTTTAATGTTCCGGAGAGATATGGAGATCACTGGGAAAAGGAGGAAAAAGGGGGCTGAAGTTGTTTAAAAAGTGGGTACAAATTAAAAAATTTTAAAAAAATAGATATTGGTTAAATGAGGGCGACCAAATAGGGCGCCCGGTTCCCCCGCACTCCCCATTGTGGCTAGTACACCGAGTCAACCCATCTTGCCTTTTTGTTTCGGATAAAGGTGTACAGAAAAGATTTTTCCTTTTCCTTTACTTTGATAAATGCATATACATTTTTCACCAACTTCTTGACACCAAGATAAAGTAACAAGCAAATTCAAAGAGTACTTTTATTAACTTGAAGCTAGAAGCAATTGGCATACTATACCAACAGTAAGTATTCCTATATGGAACGGTCAATGCTATAAATAGTTCAATGCCTTTTGGCAAAGATTTGATCATGAAATACCAAAAGTTACTCAATTTCTCAATGGGCATTCAAGACTTACAAGTTACACGATCATCCAGCACTACATACGTTAAGGATCAACGAGGCTCAAGATCTATCTCGCCCTTTACTCAACTTCTCGAAACACATAAAGATCACTAGTCCCTTAAGCTTTTTCTATGGGGGGTGATTAATTCACATTACTCATCTGTTCAGTCATTCGATATTAGTATTTGTATTCACACGTGTATTCTCTCCTATTGTTTTCTCAAAAAGCTGTAGCAAAAGCTTAGCCAGACTCAGGATGCGCACAGCAGGCAAGAATTCAATTAGATTTCATCTCTATATCGGTATTTTCTTTTGTATCCGGCTCATCATCAGGAAGAAGACCAAGCAAGGGCAAAGGCAATAGGGAGCTGAGATTGCAGAGAACTATCAGAAAAGCCAAGTTGTCAAACCTGTCCTTGGTGACACCAAATACCTGCATTAGACCAGCACCAATTAGACCACCAAGGACACTCCCTCCATTGGATATGGACATAAGGGTTGCGAAAAGAGTTGCTTCCATTCCTTGTGGACATATTCTAGCAGCCAGTACTAGAACAGGCATGAAAGATGCCTGAAACAGGTAAGTAGTTAGATGATGCGTGTTGCCAAAATACTCTAAATTCTATATTAGAATATAGAAGTTTACCCATTCAATTTCAGTTTACATCTATACTAATAAATAATGCAATTTTTTATGCAATCACTCATGTGCAAAGATTACCTGTTGCTATCTTCTTACAATTCGTATATGAAGTGCCTCAAGAAGGTGATATCACAAAAATTCGAACAGAACACCCATGTTTCCTCCATTACTCTTATCAGATAACCATTCTCTAAACGCACCGAAAAATCTATTGTTAAAACAATGTTAGTGTTCTATAAAAAGCCATACACTATTTTTATTTGTTCTCTCACATGCATCAAGCACATAGTCTAGCTCAGTAGATGTGGTGAAACTTCCTCCTTCGTACTTCAACTTCTGTTTTCAGAATTCTGAAAACCATTACATTTACCATTCATCTTTGGGCGTCCAGCTTGGTACATGAAATTGATACTTCTGGTATGAATTAAATGTTTCACAGTGCCAGTGACACAAGATTGCTCCTTGCTTTTTCATTCAGATTTCTGTTTCATGCTTTAGATTGAGCTTCAACTAACTATGTTATTTAGCAGTTTATATTGGTCCAGAAATCAAATAAAAGACTGAGAAACAAATGTAAAGAAATTCAAACAAATAGAAAAAAGCTCTAAAACATCAATAAAATTTCTACCAAGAAATTTTTAACGGAAGCGAAAGAGTATCTCAAGTATCTGGAAGTTTTATGTAACTGGGTTCGGATAATTTGTTGGCTGTGGTTTTCATGATATTTACAACTTTACATTTTTAATTTGTTTCTCCCTATACTGGTGGCGTTGTTCAGAAACAGGTGGAACTTTTTTTTTTTTTGGTTGTAAAAGACGAAAAAAATTTGGTGTGTCTTAAAAACCACCACTTTGAGAAAAGCCTTTTTTTTTGGCTGCAAAAACTGAAAAAGATTTTTAAAATTGTTTTCAACCAAACAGAGAAAAGTTCTTCAGTCTTTGCAAAAACTGAAAAGTACTCCAGAGGTGTTTTGCAGTTTATAGTTTTTCAGTTTTTGCACAATATGGTGTTCGGTGAAAAAAGAAATTCAGAGAATGTTTTCAACCCCTTCTGGCAATAAATGCCAGGATACATGCGAGATCTTAAGGGTTTTTGCCTTCAAAAACTTAAGCTCTTTTCCTTAAGGTACAATTCGTGTAGAGATATCTTAACCTTATTCAGGTAACTTCCATTCAACCACCCACAAATGCATGCTACTTTGAAACGGTTTATCCTAACACAACCTAAACAAGAAGACAGAATATAAATTGAAAACTAATGTTATACGAAAACTCAAGGAAAAAACATACATGTGAAAGAATCTAAGCATCCAACACGAATCTTAAACTAGGGGAGAAGTATACCAAAATATTTTATAAACCCCGTCAAATGCCCTTCTATATCCAATGTGGGAGACTCAACAATCTCCCGTATAGGTAATGCGATTTTGTGTTCACAGTAAATTTAATGTGGATTGACGGGGCTGAGAATATTCTTGCCAAATGTTTGCTCTAATACCATGTAAAAGAAACTGAAAGTCTAACACAAAACCTTATGGTAATAATAAAGTATCCAAGACCTTGATAAATCTCTTTAAATGCCCTTTTATACTCGAGACTATATAATTCAACAGTAGAGATATAGTTTTTATAAAACAGAACCTTAATGAAGAGCTACCTTCTACTTTATCAAAACTCATGCTGGCCAAAGAAAATCTAGTTTTACATGACATAGCAGTCCTAAATACACAGTTTTAAATTCATATCATTTACCTGAAATTAGCATCCCAAAGAATTACTATATAGTTTATGTGCAAGTATATTTTTACAAATTTAATTGTCTTTATGGCTGCTATAGACTATAGTTATTAATTGGAATGCAGACCTAATTGGAATCCATTAGACACCCTACATACATGAAAAATTACTTGATCACTGTCATTATGTCCCAGTTCGATTGTTTCAATGAAAGAAGAAAAAAACTCTTCAAGTTTTTTGTTTTTCATTAGACAAATACATCTCTATAGGTAGGTTCGGTGAGTTTCTTGCAAGTCGCAAGTTAGCCATTATATCCTTCAATTGTTTTGTGTGCCTTCGCTGTGCATCTTTATATGATTAGTACTCTTTTCTTAAGTTATGCTTTCAGATTTCGAACTAAGCAAGATTGAGCTTCAGAGTGCTTTTACTCTATATATTACTATGTATTCAGAAAAAAATATTAATTAGATCAACCAAATATGAACGGATTCTCAAGTATGGAACCAAGTACAAGAAAAAGATTACCTGACCCAGAACAGTTATAATCAAGGAATCCCCAATAGCAAACCACTCATCACTAATGCCAAACTGCCGGTTCAATCCAGTCACCAGCAGAACCTTATACAAAACCATCATACTTTGAAGTAAATCAAGGCCACCATGACCCCAAAACAGAAGAAAAATCATAAAACTGAAGTAGAAAAGATGTGTTGGGATATGTACCTGGGTCATCCCAAGAGCTGTACCAATGAGAGTCATTACGAGGAATATTTTTCTTAAAGGAACTTTCTTCAAAAAACAATTATAAAGCCCCACACCAATAAGTGATGCAACTGAAGTGACAAGCTTAACACGTCCAAGGAATTCAGGAGTGAAACCAAGTTTGTTTGTCCTACAATCAGAACAAAATTCTATTAGAACTAGTAGCTTTCATGTATGTTTACATTAATTAAAATTTAAACCTGAAACTGAGCATACGTGAAGTAAAACATAGCAGAATCTGATTGTGGTGTTGCCTGCCATAAGAAAATAAATAGGGTGGGAAGTAGAACGCTGGGCTGCTTAACAGTTCCCCATAACTGGATAAAATTGTTTTTTGAGCTCTCGATGAAGCCATTGCCTAAAGAAACTCCCCTCGCTGGGCCTCGTACTGGCTGCTCTTTCACAAGTACAGATACTGCAGATGTTATAAGAGGAAGTAATGATGTTGCACCAAAAACAAACCTGGAGAAATCAAAAATATTTAGACTTAATCCATCCGGACCATTACTACTCACAAGACAACAATCACATGATATTTAGAAAGAGTGACCAAGTATCATACCTCACACCGTAAGCATCCACAAGGGAGCCACTAAAGTAGGCACTCACAATTCCTCCAAATGCGGAAGAACCCCAGCACAATGACTGAAGAGATCCTGACATGCTTTGAGACTCACCACGTGCCCTCTCAACAACCATGGAATCTACAACCTACATGATTGCTCAATTATATATGCCAGAAGAATGTGGTGGAAAGATACCAGCTACAGGAAGAGGAGCGTTACAAAGAAGCAAAAGATCAACTCAGATTCATTTGGCCGGTAACTCCTTTTCTATGAACAAGCGTAACAGCAAAAAATCAAGTCCAATAATTTTTTTGAAATGATTTTTTTTTTTTGAAATGACAAGTCCAATAATTCCCAAGTGGCATTAATATTTTCAAGATTTAACACAAGGATCGGTTGATATGTTGCAGCGTGTTCAAGGCAGTGGGTGGAGAAAAAGGTTCACCCACAATACATTAGTGACCCGATAATTTCACTAACATGTCCAACAAAGAATATACCGTTCATCCACACTACATTATACAACTCTTGGATTTGCATTAAAAGTCGATAGTGGTGCTGTTCAATTTCAAACTAATGAAGGCTTAATCTAAAATAAGTTCTTATGCCTCCACCCTTTTTTTATGACGGTGGTGTCCGGGCTAAGCTTGCACACAGCCGCACACCTGGGCTATTCCACTGGGTACCTACTCCCTCCTACCAGCACAAGTATCATGTAACTCTACCCACCAAGAATTAGGCAAATGGGAAGAAATCGCCTAGTAGTTTTTACATTCGCTGAGATTTGACCTGAGACCTCATTATTCTTATGCCCTTTCCTTTAAACAAAAAGGAGCTGCAACATCATAACTTCTGCTTTATTCATCACTTAGATTTAAAAGATCATCACTCGCTAATGATTGGTTGATGTGCTATGAAACTACAGCACATTTGATATCATTTGCATAAGTTTTTACTATTCTTTAAGCATATTTTGTGTCGTTTTTTATGATAATTGTTGTGTTTAGGGATTTTGAGGTTAAATGGTAAAAACAAGCGAAAATGCACAAAGTGCCCCAGATTTGATGACATATGGATCTTATCTTGAAGGCACGGGATGCAAGTGAAATGCAGATTAAAGCTGAGAAGAAGGAAACTGAAGGCTTGAGATAGGGAACATGCGGATTGTACATTCATAGTCTGTTGAGAGCCCAAAAGTACTGAATATTGTCCAATTGAAGGTCGGCACGGAGCCAACACGCAGGCCGTGCATTCCACATGTGGACCGCATCCAAACACCTGTTGAAGATCTTGACAGTCAAATTTCTGAAGATTGACATGCGGAGCCAAGATGCGGGCTGCAACATTCCACATGCAGACCGCATCCCAAATGCTTGCTGAAGATCCTGAAAGTCAACATTCTGAAGATTGACATGTGGAGCCAAGATGCGGATGGTATATTCCACATGCGAACCTCATCTCAAACGCCTATTGAAGATCCTGAAAATCAACAGTTTGAAGACCGACATGCTGCTCCAAGATGCGGACCGCAAGTCAAGATGCGGATGAAAGTCTAGAAGCCCTAATTTCAACATGTGAAAGCCAACCCCGACATGCGGACCGCATGTTCGATATGCGCTCAAGAGACTGTATGTGACACTGCGGGGGCATTTTTGACATAATTATTGTCGCATTTTGGACCATTATAAATAGTATAGTTGGGATTTTTGTAGGGGTATTTGGTCTGAAAAGTGTCCCTCTTGGATGATTGAATACACCATTCCTTTGAAGCTTTTGAGAAGAAGATTCCTTTACTTTCTCAGCTATAAGATTTTAATGCTTAGTGTTGTTACTCTAATTATCATGATGTTAATGTGTGTTTACCATTGAATATACATATAATGAGTTGTTGATTTCTATTCATCTTCTCTTGCTTCATTTATGGTTGGTGGTGGCAACCATTAACCTATGCCATTTTATTTAGTGGGTCAGGGTTTGGTAAAAGTGAATAGCAAGAACTCAAGGCTTTAAACCTTGTTTAATAGGAATCACTTAAGGAATAAGAGGATTCTACTTGCCATAAATTGGTCACTCTTATTTGTAACTCTTTTGTATTTGGAAAAATCATAAAGAGGAGATTCAATCAAACTATGGAAAAATATTGGGTAGTCACTTAGAAATTTCCATTAGAAATATATCATATTAACACTTATAGCATTACATTTCATTAAAGGGGACACAACTTTGGTTTCTTAATCCAAATAGTTAAAATTTTTAACACAATAGCGTCTCTTAAATAGCTTAGCAATATCAAACCCTTTTCAAACAAACGGGAAAGAATTACAACCATAGTCAAGTACCACACTAGTAAAGTAAACTTTTCACGCCTATTCTCTATGGGATTCGACCCCAATTTAGTTGGGATATTATATTTGACATCAACCGCCTTACACCATTTATATAGGTGTAATTTGAGTGTATCAACTTTTGGCGCCGTTGCCGGGGAATATGACTTTAAAATTACTAATTAGTGTGTACTGTACTTGAAGACTTTATTCTATTCCATCACACTTTATTTACCTTATTTTGTGCAATTAGGCAAGCATGGGTGAACCCGACAATATGTTTGCGAATATGGATCAAGTTATTGATGATATGAATGTCATTGTCCCTCCGAGAGTTGATGTGACTACCTTCAAGCTGGACGTCAGTCTCTACACAATACCAAAAGTTGAGGGGTTCTTTCGGAACTCTACCGATGATGACCCAAATCAACATCTCAAAAAAATTTTGGGCGTCATTGCACCAGCAAAATTATGTGTCAGATAATGCATTGAGGTTGAGAGTCTTCAAATACTCTCTAGTTGGAGAGGCAAGAACATGTCTTCACAATCAACCTCCAGACTCCATCCATAGTTGGGGCGAGCTAGTGTATGTCTTCCTCGAGAAATGGATTCCACCAAGCAAGAGGGCGGAACTCCAAGACAATTTTTCTTTTAAGAAATTCCCAGGGAAACAACTTCATGAAGCTTGGGTGAGATTCAAGCAATACTTGGTAAGAACACAAAATCATGGGTTTCCAGAGAACATCTTGTTGGAGAAATTCTACAAGTGTTTGGATCCCATGAACCAATCTGTAGCTAACAATGCGACCAATGGGTCTTTCATGGATAACATTTGCGATAATCATCCAAATCCTTGACAAGGTCGCCAAACATAATTAAGCATGGCATTCGAGCGACACGAATTGTGGTGTTTCATATGAGTCCCCTTTTTTGACCACTATCATCAAGGAAAATTAAGAGAGACCAAGTGATTACCGGTCTTGCCACCAATGTGAATGTTTTGACAAAAATATTCACGGAAAACCAAACAAAGAAGGTGAATGTAGGGGAAGATGTGCAATCGATGCCGAACTTTAACTATCAAAATCAAGAAGGCCAATACCAAGAATACCCTCAGATGGAATATGAGGAAGTGATTTATGTCAACAATTCTTAAGGAGGGTATCAAATACAAAATTAGGGTCGGGGCAAAAGAATCAATGGAGACCTAACCTGCAAGGGCAACGTAACCAACAATGGCGAAACGACCAAGGTAATCTGAATCAAGGAAATTGGAACAATAACAAAAACTTTAGGAATCAGAGCTCAAATCCATATGTTCCACCGAAAGGCCAATATTCTAACTCTCAACATTATCAAGTTAGTTCCAAATTGGAGAATGTGCTTGAAAGGGGTTTGCAAAACCAAGAGAAGTCCAACATTTCAATGAAGAACATGTCCGAACGTGTGTGTTCTCACACCACTTCTATTCAAAAATTGGAGTTGCAAATGAGAGATCTTTCAAGAAAGAAAATTTAAAGCAAAAAAGCACGCTCCCGAGTGACACAATTGCGAATCTAAGGGGTAATGGGGTGGCCAAACATTTCATTGCATAGCTATTATAACTCGAAGTGGGAGACTACTTCAAAATGAGAGTAAGAAAGTGATTGAAGTGAAAGATGTAGAAAAAGAAGATAAGGCACATGTAAAAGGTTCCTATTGTTGTTGAAGTTGAAAAGAGTTCCTCAAAAAGCTAAAGTTCAGGATGTGGGCAATCACAAAGGTGAGGAAATTAGAGTTGAAAAGTAAGACCAAGTCACCGAGTTGGAACTCCTTCTTCAAGATCTTTTTGTCAAGAAAGTGCTTCATCCTCTCCTTGTACATGGATGCACTCTTGTAAGCTTGGAATCAAAACTCATACATCTCATTGAGTTGAGATGTTCTCAAGTTAGCCGTTTCGTTCTATTCAAGGTTCAACTTCTGCAATGTCAACATAGCTTTATGCTCTAGCTCAACTGGCAAATGACATGCCTTACCAAAAACCAATCAGTAAAGTGAAGTCCCAATAGGAGTCTTGAACGCTATCCTATATGCTCAAAGAGCATCATCTAACTTCATCGATCAATTAGTCCTATTTGCATTAACCATTTTGGCTAGGATGCTCTTGAATTCTCGATTTGAGACTTCAACTTGGCCACTCATTTGAAGATGGTATAGAGTGGTCACTTTATGCTTTACACCATAAATCTCTACCAACCCTGCGAAGGCCTTGTTGCAAAAATGAGCTCCACCATCACTAAGGATAGCCCTTGGGGTGCCAAATCTAGTAAAGATGTTTTTCTTTAAGAAGGTCGACACACTCCTCGCTTCATTATTTGGCAAAGGTGCCACTTCAACTCATTTCGATACATAGCCTACGGCCACCAAGATGTATGTCATGCCATACGAGCTCACAAAGGGACCCATAGAGTCAATCCCCTCACACATCAAATATTTTCACCTTCATTACAAAGTTTAAAGTCATCTCATGCCTATCGACCCTTACCTTTGGTAAATGGATGGCCAATAGTACCACTCAAGAACTTTTGCCGCAGTCCAATTTCCACCATAATGACCCCCAACCGGAGAGCTATGACATGCCTTGAGCATAGGCATCACCTCGTCTTCGGGGACACAACGCCTAATGATGTTGTCGTGTCGGCGCATATTCGGAACAAATAGGGCTCTTCCCAATAATAGTACCTACACTCCCTAAAAAACTTCTTCTTTTGATAAGATTCTATTTCGTCGACACTAACCAAGAACTTAGCGATATCGGCAATACCATGGGGATAAAGTATTAGACAATGCCAAGAGTTGCTCATCCGAGAAAGCATCATTAATCTCAAGTTCTCTGTTTGGTCTCCCCGCTTCCTCAAGTCTAGATAGATGATCCGCAACTTGGTTCTTTTTCAAGAAGCTTGCCATGGGGTTTGCAATTTTTGAGAAGTCTTTGATGAATCGCCGATAGAATCCGGCATTGCCCAAAGAAACTTCTAACACCCTTGACGGGGGTAGGAGGAAGAAGCTTAGAAATAATCTCGATTTTGGCTCGATCAACCTCGATATCTCGCTTGGAAATCTTGTGACCAAGGACATTTCCCTCATCCACCATAAAGTGGTGTTTCTCCCGTTTAGCACAAGGTTGGTTACTTCACATCTTTTAAGGACTTGATCAAAATTATCAAGGCAATCTTCAAATGAATTACCAACCACGGAGAAGTCGTCCATGAACACCTCCAAGAAGTCTTTCACCACATCCAAGAAGATAAAACCACGCACCGTTGAAATGTGGTTGGGCATTACATAACCCAAACGACATTCTACTAAAGACAAAGGTCCCATATGGACAAGTAAATGTTGTCTTCTCTTGATCCTCCAAGGCTATGTTGATTTGATTATAGCCGAAATATCCATCCAAGAAGCAATAGAATGAGCTTCCTGCTAGCCGATCAAGCATTTGATCAATAAAAGGCATAGGCAATGGTTTTTGGAAGCAACTCCATTAAGCTTCTGGTAATCCATGCACACCCTCCATTTGGTTACTGTCCTCATTGGGACGAGTTCATTTTTGTCATTTTGCACCACGATTATGCCTCCTTTCTTTAGAACACATGGTACGGGGACTCACCCACGGGCTATTCGCAATGGAGTTGACAACCTCGGCATCAAACCATTTGATGATTTCTTTCTTCACCACCTCTTGCATGGTGGGACTCAACCTCTTTTGGTGCTCCACACTCAGCTTGCTATCCTCTTCAAGTTGGATCTTATGCTCACAAATACCAGAGAGAATTCCCCGAATATTCGCTATTGTCCCATCGATAGCCCTTTAAAACTTCTAATAATCGCTTAACCTGCACATCATTCAAGAAAGAAGAAACAATTACGGGTAAAGTATCATTAAGGTCAAGAAATTCATATCTCAAGTGTGGTGGTAGTGGTTTGAGCTCAAGTTGTGGTGGCTCAAAAATTGATGGCTTGGCGAGAGGAGTGACCCGTTTTCTCTAAGCCAAGAGAAACCTTCTTTGATTTGTAGGTGTACGAACCTAACCCTTCAAGTGCATTCACGGTCTCCACATGCCCTTCCCTATCATCACCATCAAAGTTCACCAAGATTGCCGCCAATGCTTCACCGAGGCATTCTTCTACCATTTCCATCTCAACCACATCAACAACATGAAGGGGAGCTTTGGCGTAATTGGTAAAGTTGTTGTCATGTGACCAGGAGGTCACGGGTTCGAGCCGTGAAAACAGCTTATCACAGAAATGCAAGGTAAGACTGCGTACAATTCGGCACTTCCCTGGGCCACGCGCATAGCGGGAGCTTAGTGCATCGGGCTACCCTACCACATCAACAACATCAATAATCGAGAGGTTCTCATATGCACTTGGTAGCTTTATGCCTTTGCTGGCTTGAAAAGTCACCTCTTCATTATTTACATGGAATTTAATTTTATTTTTCTCTCGTCCATAAGTGCTCTTAGTTGCAAGGAATGTTCTTCCCATAAAGATGGTGATTTCCTTATCTACCGCACAATCAAGGATGACAAAGTCGATGCGAAGAAGGACTTGCCCACTCGCACAAGCACATCAATGGTTAGTTTTGGAGAAACGCCAACAACATCTGTGGAGAGCAATCACATGATTTTGCAAATTCAAAATTTTTGAAGAAGTAGTGCTCAGAATGAAAGAAGAGCAGATACGTGCAGTGCATCAGTGCTGTAAAGGTCATTTAGTGTGGCTAGCTAGCACTGTCTAACTAGGTTAAGCTTAAGGGAGAGTGTTTCCAAAATCATAAGCAGGTCCTTAGACTACTTCCAATTTGAAATTCCCAAAACCACAAAGTGTTTCCTTTCGTTCTCCTCATTTCTTCTAAGAACAAGCAATGAAAACTCGGAAATGATAAGGGATACAACAAACAAAAAGAGATAAAAATTTAAAAGCCGAGTAGTTGTGTACTACCTACTGACACATATTTGACACACCGATGAACTCTAGACAACCTTTCTGAACTTTTGAGACATCCTTTATCATACTAGTTTGATAAGTTTTTCTCTCGAATGAGTTGCTGAAAACTTAGAACATGTTAAGGTACAACTGAGTCTCTGATCTTACCTACGGCCCTATTGCCAAGGTTGCAATTAAGGATTTCCTTCAATATTTCAAAAGACATAACAAACTTCCGCCAAGCTAGGTCATGTATAACTAGCAAGAATTCTTTATTAATGCAATGAAATACCTGCAGGAACAAAAATGAGAGCATAACGAGTACTCAACTAAAGGTCAAAAGGCAAACAGATTGTCGTTAACCTTCGGACCAGTTAAAAAGTATAACCATGCAAAGAACATAACAACACTAGTATGAATTTGTTGAAACTAACTAGGTACAAGAGAAACTTACAACGTCTGAGAAAGCGACAGAAAGAGAACCAATAAGTATGGAGAAGGCAGCACTATACTTGCTATCAACGAAGGTGGCCATCAAAAACCATGAGAATGCCCCAAGGAGCCCTGAGAGTACCAAGTATGATCTCCTCCGATATCCAAAGAGAGGGAAGGAATCGCTACACGGGAAATACTCATTTATTGAAATCTTTCATTAAATAGATAGATGGATAAGGATGAAAGGAAAATTGATACCAACCTGATGAACCCATACAATGGTTTTACGAGCCACGGCAATGATGAGAAACCAGATATGACAGCTGTCTAGTCAGTCACATATAAATTTGTCAGTGAGTCAGTCTGTGTACTCAACAAAAATGGTGAGGGGAGAAGTGAGAAGAAACGTGTAAAGAAGTCTTCCTTTTAAACGTGCGAGAAGGTGGACACTTTCGGACACTTTCGGATAATCACAAAATGGAAAGGATAGTTTTAATTGAAAAAGAAGGAATAACTGAGTGTCGTGGCAGTCTAAGTTCGAGAGAGAATTGTATCTCAAATAACTGAATGTAACTGTAGTCTAAATTCTGTAACAACTCATAATTCTGTATGACAAAGTTACCTATCCAAATTTAGAAAACAAAATATATTAAAAGCACTTTTGGCTAGAATCTGCAGTTTGAATCTGATGAAGATGATTTTGTTAAACTAGGGAAGATTAACAAACGACGGAAACAAATTACCCTATCAAGATGACGTACCTCTGCAGGATCTAGGTGTAGGTCATCTTTCAAGTAAAAGCTAACAGCAAGCCTAGAAAGGCCCAGGACGCCTTGAACAAAATATACCATAGCAACAGCAATGTTATCTGGGGTTAGATCCACTCCAAAGCAACTGATTGGACGAAGAGAATATTTGTTCTTGTGAGGAATAGTTTTATTGGACAAGACAGAATCTTCTTGGACAGTGGTTGTCAGCTGATCCCCCTTTCCTGCATATGACCATATTGGAGAATGTAAAATAAGAGTGAGACAGCTGAAAAGAAATAGTAGAAAAGGAGCTCACATAAGCCACCATGTATGAGCATGAGGGTGCTAAATCCATGATGAGACTCTTGAAACATTTTTCTTGACAACCTACTGAATACTAGCACCAAAAACGGAAATGACGTATAACAGCAATTTCTCGCTCATAGAAGGGCAGGTTATATTTAGGAAGTTTTCCAAAAAGAGTCTAAACTAAAGAGATTAAGATCTGCTAAATTATACTGATAACTATACATAGCACATAAGTGGGAGGCTAGTAGGCAACCCATGAAAAATGAAAATTGGTAGCTTTAGTCTAAGGTGCACTGGCTCTCTCAGCTATGATCAGACGTGGATATCCCTGATGATTGAACATCAAGAGCCATGAGGTACAATCCACACTCAACTATAAATTATCCTGGGAAGAATCCTTCTCCAAGGAAGATTATTTAAAATCTCCAATATGACAATCATATGCTCCCTCTATATGACCTTAAAACTCCAGTTTCATTTTAATCCATCCTATAATGCTTTCTAGTTTCTTGTGTTAAACTATTTCCTCATAGTGCATGCCAACTCACTCTTCCCCGATCTGCACAAACAACAATGTAGAAATTGACCGCACTTTAATATATCCGAAATGGTTGAAAGTCATTTTAACCGGAACTTAGGATGCAATCACAAAAGGACTTGATGAATCTTCACATTTGTTCCAGAGTTGTTAAAGGCCCTTGAGGCATGATTATGTCCTAAGCACCTACTCTTTGTTACAGGCCGGCTTCAATGCCCCAGGCATTGTCTTAAAAAGGACAATATTAAACCATAAAAGTAGGCGATGAGGCGATATACTAATAGTTAGATAATATATTAGTGATTAGGAATAAGAATTAGAAATGAAGTAAAAATTAAAGTAGTTGCTAACCTAACAACAACAACATACCCATTATAACCCCACAAATGGGGTCTGGGGAGGATACTGTGTACACAGACCTTACCCTACCTTGTGGAGGTAGAGAGACTGTTTCTGAATACCCTCGGCTCAAGGACAAAAGTAGTTGCTAACCTGAACAACAAATTTGCTTCGTATCACAATTAAAGTGATTCTTGAAGTTGATTGACACGGTTTTTAATTCACGTATTCCAATTAATTATAGATTCTCAGGGCTTTGATCCATATAGTTATCGCTTGTTTTTCATTTGTTTTTTCTTTGATTACAATTTTATTTTTTATTTATCTGCACCTATCTTCACTAACGCTCGTGTTTTAATTGCGCTTTCTGCTTAAATTTCCAGCAGACTCTTGGACTACATTACTTGTCTTCGATGCCACGTGTAATATATGCGCTCATGAATGGTATGACAATTGAAATAGAGCTGAAGAATAATTACTCTAAAAGTCTCTCTTACAACCCTAACATCAGAGCCATTTTTCCTTTTGAGGGAAGGGGATGGGAAGGGGTGATATGGGACAAAAAATTACAGATAGTAAATCCAAAGTGATAACCAGTTACCTATGTTATGCTTATTATGATTATTCTAGAATTATAGGAAAGTTATACATATTACACTTAATATCATGTACATTCATGATATCTCTTCCCTAATTATTGAAATTCCGCATGTCTGGTTCCATGTTAGATATGATTTCCTTGTCTGTGTCTGCGGCCATGTTAGCTAGAAAGGGGGAAGAGAAGTGAAAAAATTTCAGTCTACATGAGATGTATTTCTTAAGTGCCGAGAGTCCAATGTGGGACAATTTCCTACAAGTCCCCACGTTAATAAGTACAACAAACCGGATTGCATGCTGACTTCAAAAGAAGCTGAAGACATCCTGGTGCTTTCCTGAATCCATCGATCAAACAGTTAACTAACACCAATGTTCCAGGTATCACTCTGCACCTCTAAACTTCTCCTCTACATCCCGAAGATTTTCTCCTGAATTTGACGCATTCAAAGAACCAAGGAAATCTTATTACAAGTTCCTTCCTGTGAGCTTGGGCGCAACGGTAAAAGTTGTTGCCGAGTGACCAAGAGGTCACACGTTCAAGCCACGGAATCAGCCTCTTGCAGAAATACAAGGTAGGCTTGTGTACAGAAAACACAATGTGTTTTGGCCCTTCCCTAGACCCTGCGCATAGCGGAAGCTTAGTGTACTGTGATGCCCTTCTCATTCCTTTGAACGATACATGCATAAGAATGTTATCCATACAATTCGATTTGAACCAACACTGTGCTCCTACTACTTCAGATGCACTAAATGATTAATATTCTTTGGAAATACATACCATGACTACATGGTTTTACCGCAAGACCTTATTAATCCGGTACGGAATATTAACAAACAGTAAAACTTCAATTGCCTGCTATCCCAACACGAAACTATAACTATCAACAACCACACACTCGAACCTGATTTATATATTCAGAAGCTGTTAACTCGTTCTATTTACTTTCCTTGATTTCAGAGAAAAAACAAAAGCCTTAAAAGAAAAGCTAATAACTTTACATTTCATTTTTCATAATTCTACTAAGCAAAATGTGGAATAAAGTATATACGATAAGAGGATTCAATCCAGCCAGTTAAGGAGTGAAGTATAGTTGATTGATTGAGTTAACTAAAAATAAATTAACATAAAATGAGGTAATTAAAAGATGAAATTAGTCACATCCACACCATTAAATCATTTTTATGATTGTAAGTAACTCACGGTTTCTAGAATCTAGCAACGGTTCAGTCTCGAGATCTCGCCGGGTGGAAGCTGCCGGAATCTGAACTGAGACTGACATTTTGGAGTCCGGTGGCTCGAAAGGCGGTTTCCGGCGGGAGGAGCCGGCGGCGATGGTGAAGGAAGGCGGTTTCCGACGGCGAAAACGAGAGAGGAGTGGAGAGAGGGAGAGGAAGGGGAAAAGAGGATTAACGGAAGGCAAGATCGAGAATGAGATTGAATTGGTAGTTATTGTAGCCATTTTTTAAATTTATGAAAAGTTTCGATTCGTACAGTCTTGTCTGATGTTTTTTAATTGAGAAATTATAAAATGAGCACACAGCCGCACACTTTATGAGCACTTTTAACGACTACAAATGTACCAAAGAATAACATGATCCGCGTCCAGTCCAAATGTCGGAATTGCCCCTGATTAGCTTCACCGCGATTTCTTCGCCACTTATCCATTTCCTTGGGCTTCGACAATAGAAATACATCCATTTCCTTCTGCCAATAAGCTTATGAGGAAGTGGGAAAAATTGAACAAATGGGATCATTTAAGGCAGTTGTTTAAATTGTCTCTGTTTAAAAAATTTATGAAAAAATAATAATCTGACAGGTCATAAGTTTTACAAACCAATCTTAACTTTTCCACAAGCTATATCGGAGGAATGAAATATAATATTTTTACAAATTATGTCAGGTAAGTCATCACTTTGTTACAAACAATTCACAAAAATTATGACGGATTAGCAAAATTTATTTTGTTCTCAAGTTATGATGAGCAATCATAACTTTGATACAAATTGTTCACAAAATTCTTGTGGATTGACAAAATTTGCATGTGTTGTTTAATTGTTCACAAGTTATATAAGAATGATAAAATTTAGCTTTATCTCCATTCCACCTTTTATTAAATTGCTTGCAAGTTCTACCAGTTTATTAATAAACCTTCTGTATTCTAGAATAGTGAATTTAGCTGCGTTTCACGTGGGTATGAAAGATATTTCATCTTAAAGATATAAGATTACAGATTTACTGTAAAAAAAAAAAATTATCGTTGATAAGCAAATAAATTGTCACGACCCGAAATCTCAACCATATGACTGTGATAGCGCCTAACATTCACTTGCTAGGAATGCCAACATTAGCTAATTGAATAACCATTTTTAACAGTTTAAAAGCATAACGGTAACAATAATAACTAACGATTGGTAAAAACTAAGATATATATGATAAATCCATATATACCACAGTCTATACTAATCCCAGAAATCCGATGTCACGAATACATGAGTGTCTAGAATACTATAAATATGATCTGAAATGAAATGCAATACTGTCTAAAACTAGAGTAACAATAAAACAAGATAGAAGGGGACTTCAGAGACCGCAGATGCCAAGCAGCTCTACCTTAAGTCTCCAGACAAGTTAATCCGAGCGACTCCTTTACGTATCGCTAGGATCAATACTGAGATTTGCACAAGAAGTGTAGAAATATAGTATGAGTACAATCCACCTTATGTACTCTGTAAGTGTCGAGCCTAACCTCGACGAAGTAGTGACGAGACTATAATAAGACACTCATAATAGACCTGTACGAATAACAATGACAAAATGCGGAAATATAGATAAAACAGTGAACTCATAAAAACGGATCCGAGTGTCAACTACCAGAGGGCCCCAGAATAATATGATCTCAAATCTCATATCATAGTACTGAGAAAAAAATCTACAACTACTAACAACTACAGTACACCATACTCTGTTGCGGCTCACAACCCAATCCCAATAATTATCAAGATACTTGTTGTCGCATGCAACCCGATCCCAACATTTATCATAATATTTGTTGCGGCGTGCAATTTGATCCCAATATCATATCATATTATTATCTATTATGGCGTACAATCCAATTCCAATATTAATTCATTATAATATTGTTGTGGCGCGCAACCCATTATGCATAAATATAAACAACTCAACACAACCAATGACGGAATCTCAACACGAAAGGGAAATAAAACGTACAAAATATCGAGGAACTACCAGTACAAACAGAGGATAACCAATGCCTCTTATTCATAATTCTCTATACATCACCAATACAAGAATAGCTAACGAACTCCTACAAATCCAAATAACATAATAAAGTGCAACAAGTAATGTAAAGACAATAAATGAGAGTAAAACATGAAACAATGATGTTATACAATTAATTCAGGTAGGAACATATAGTAGGTAAACAGATATTGAGCGAGAAATGAATAAATCAAACAAGTAGCAATTACTGAAGCTTTATGGTTCTTGGTGTGGTCGCATCTACGGTGGGCTTGGCCGCAGATGCGGAGCCGTTGGTGCGGCTGAAGGATCGCAAAAGCGAAGAAGGAAGCTCTAGGGAAAGTCCGTAGATGCGAACCTTGGACCGTAGGAGTGGAGCCGCAAGTGCGGCCAAGTATGCACAACTGCGAAAGATGGCTTGGCCAAGGGAGCTTCATAGATTCGCGTGTGTTTACCCTAAAAACGAAAAACAATTAAATTTGTATTGTGGTTTTAAGGATACGTGATTTTACTTAGTACAAATTGAGCAAAAATGTAATTGATATTGAAATTGACAGCAAATAGAAATTAAAGCAAACCAAACGAACCAAGTAGCCTTGGCCCTCAAATTTGATCACCCTTGAACCAAATGGAGATTTAGTTGATACAAGAACACAATAACAGAGTAACAAACCAAACAATTATCTCATTGGAAAGTATGAACAAAGTGATAGAGTATTAAGAGCTTATGAAAAAGAGAGTATATTGCTTTATGTAACGTGAATGTGTTCTCCTTTACAAATGATCAAGCCCCATTTATAGTAGGGGAGTCCTGCTTTTGGTATAATTCTAAATACAATAACAAATCCCAAGATTGGCTAATTAATCGGCCTCTTCTTGATACGTGCCGAGATTCGCACCGTGATCTTCGCCCGATTGCGGATATTTCATATTTTTGTTATTCGACCCAGTAAGCTTCCCTTGAATTCCATCTTATTCCGTCTCGATCTTGGTCGGTTTCGGTTTGATCGGTTTCGGTTTGATCGGTCTCGATCTTAATTGGTCTCAGGGTCTCGAGCTTAATCGGTCTCAAGGTTTCAAGCTTGACAACCTATGTCCGCACCATAGTTTGATATAAATCAAAGCCGATCCTTGATTTATCATGCTCCAACCTCGATCAGTCGCACAAAAAAGGCAAGTTCAATTTTGACCGTATATAAATAGTCCCCTCATTTTTTGGAGAGTGATGACAAGAAACGATTTGATCCCTCAATCTTCACCTCGATACACCGTGACATAAGCATCATGACGTAAGCAACAGAAGCAACTAAAACGTTTCGTCGATAAAGTTTCCCAAGCATTTAATGCGTGCCAGTCGACGGTCGGCCACTACCGGATTTGAATCATCATCTTAAACCTATAAATGTATCTTTCTTCTTTTGTCCAAACTTTACTTTCAAATCTTCTTTGCCCTAATTTTCAAAATTCCTTTGCCTTCCTCAAAGCTTTATGCTTTCAGATCTCTAGTGTTTCTTCGCCTGTTTCGTTACAAAATACCAAGTGTTTCTTCTCAGTTTCCATTCTTCGTCATTCGTAAAAATAAAATGGCTAAGACTTCAAAAATTGTTCCTCAAAAGGAAAACGCTTCTTCATCAAGGCCCGCCGGTGACAGAGCTGTGGAGGAACCTCCCCTAGAGGACTTTGCTTCGACAAAGTGCCCTATTATTGTCAATTTTATGGTAGAGAATACATCCTCGGTACCGGGTCGATACAAACCGATGTCGAGGTACATATGCACAATTACAGACGATCTCCTCGACCAAGTTAAAGAGGACTGCAACTGGGTCGACAAGCATGTGGTGGTTCCCTTGCTTGAGGAATCAATCACTACCCATGTGGAAGGGTTTTTTAGTGTTTACACTTATCCTTTCACATTGAGTACTTTAGAACCTATCATCATTGCCTTCTGCAAGAGGTACGATGTGACCCTTGGCCAATTAATCCATCATTCCGGAGGATCGTGATCCTCCTCCGACTTTTTGTAAGCAAGATCGAGGGGCATCCTTTTACCCTCGATCACCTTATGCGTCTCTACAGTCCCCTGCTTTATCAGGGAGGATTGATCAAGCTTTACCGCCGAGCCACCAAACCCCCATTCTTGAGCATAGACGAGACCTGAGATCGAGGTTAGATGGGTCGATTTGTCCGAATAAGGACATCATACCTAATCCCCGCCAAAGACATGCAGTTCCCTAAAAAATGGAACATGAATCGTAAGTATTACTTCGCCTTGAATATCTAACTTTGCCGTTTTACTTCTCATCTTCTTTCCTCGTCTCTGTTTTTTCTATGTTCCAGTTGTGGCCCATGTGCCAGAAGTAATCCTCGATCTTAAGAAATGGGTTGAGGGCTTTGTGTCGCAGAAGTCATACTCCGAACGTTCTTATACGGAGTTGTCAAAGGGTTGTCACACCTCCTTTTTCACTACGCCCGTAAGGGCGTAAAGGAGTTTTTTTCCAATTAAAGGACAATCGGAACGGGATTTAACTATTAATTATTCAGAGTCGCCACTTGGGAGATTAATGGTGTCCCAAGTCACCGATTGAATCCCGAACCGAGGAAATTTATGACTCTGTTAATAGTCCACGAACTAGAAATCCGAGTAAGGAATTCTGTTAACCCGGGAGAAGGTGTTAGACATTCCCGAGCTCCGTGGTTCTAGCACGGTTGCTTAACTGTTGTATTTGATTTTATCTGATTTTAATACATGTTAGCTTATGTGCCTTTTATTCGTAAACCGCTTTTTATCATTATTTATTTAAAAGTATTGCAACGTCATAAAAACGCGTTTCGAACCACGTCACAATCAATGCACCCGTGGTTGTCAACACATTTTGACTTCATCGAGATTTGGATTTGGGTCACATCAATGTGCACCCGAGTTTAAGAAAGTAATTTAATTAAAAAGTGCCTAAAGATTCTAACGTATTATTATTTTGGGGAAGACCGTGAAATTCGCTAAACAACCTTTCCAAACTTAGTCATTTAAATAATTATGTTGTTATCTACTTAATTTGTCCCTAAAAATCCTGATGGGTTAAGGTCATACTTTTCGAATCCAAGTTCAAATATCCAGGGAGAATGTAGAGAAATGGGTCTTGAGCCCATAAGTCCCAAATCATGTAGTTTCATATGATGCGAGCTCAAAAATCTTACAGCTCTAGGCATTAGGCCTAATGCAGGCCAAAGTTTTAAACCAAAGATAGGCATTTGTAAAGCCCGGGGATCGAGCC